CCGCTATGATAAGTTCGTTTTTAAATCGGTTATCGTTTTTGGATGTGTATCGCCGATAATGCGGCGATATAGTGAGTTATCGGCCGATATTGTCAGCCCAAAAATCGGAATTATCGGCCTTTGGTTTGAGTTTTAATTTCGGACAACGGGCACCTATTCAATGCACTTTAGACCTGACCCAACCCGAGTTTCTACCATTGGTTAGTGATCCTAAACATAATTATTTACATTTTGGTATGTTTATATTTCATCTACCATTGGTTAGTGATCCTAAACATAATTATTTACATTTTGGTATGTTTATATTTCATTAAGTATGGTTAGATTACATTTTAGAATACATAATTATTTACATTTTGGTATGTTTATATTTCATTAAGTATGGTTAGATTACATTTTAGAATATTATGTATATCACCTTCCGGTAATGTCACTCCGATAAATACTACGTTTTCCCGATATATCCCCGATATCCGCTATCTGATATGGGTTTTGACCGTCCGATAATTCCCCGATAACCGATATTTAGAACCTTGGGTATATGATCAGTTATATGATAATTAGTCCGACAAAGATAAGCACACACTTATAGGTTGGTCAAATTGAAGGAAGACTCATAATGAAGTGTATTAGGACTGTAGATGGTGTATAATGGAATATATACAATCTCTGCATCCAGATTATGGAGTGGCGTGTAGGACAGAATTAATCGGTGGTTTGTGATAAGTGATGAAATAAATTAGTCTTCAAAGGATAAAACAGACACGAATGAAACACACTAAAGGAAGAAAGCAGCAATGCTTATACTTGTAACCACATTAGGAATGTCCAGATTATCTTAGCTGTCAAATGTGATATATCCGAAAATATGACATATGATGATACAATGAGATTGCAGGGAGGGCGACAGAGCAAAGAGTAAAACAATCAGTGGAATGTCATCTCTCTGATTTGGTTTCAATAGCAGAAGTATTGATTATTGACATTTCTTTGTTATTGATCCAATTAATCAACAGGTTTAGTGTAAGAGGGTTCTGCATGTGATATTGAGTTGTAACTGGCCATGTCATACTTATTGTGCTGCATGAAATATGTGCAACTAGTATTCTTTATTATAGCATGGCTGGATTTTCTGATTCTGGATACTTCAGAAAATCTTTTGATTTACATTAATTGTGAGCAATATAGTTTTACTTGATTAGATTTAAGTAGGGGTTATGCTTGTAAACTTAAATGTGAGAATAGAAGTTCAAAGGATGTACATTTTATAAGCCCATGGCACTTTGTAGAAAGTAGCACCAACTCATCCTACAACCACTTGTAAATGTGAGTGTTCTAGATAGTAGGATTCGCATTCTTCGCTTGTGCATGCCTCCAAAGTGATCATTAATCTGGTAGTTGATTCAGTTACAATTTTTTTCCTAGTAGATCCTGATTAAAATTGAATTTTCATCTTTGCCAAACACAACATAAGATCCATCCAACTCCATTCAGTCTCATCAATTGTTCTTCCCTCTCTAACCATGTGGAAAATCAGTTCTTGTGTCATACGTGCTATTTGTATCGAATAAACCTGCTTACAAATAACTTATTTTTTTCCTACAATTTCTTTGAAAATTAGGAGTACATTGTTCGTTCTTAATTACCACAGAAGCCATGTTCTTCATATATCTCTATCGGTTCTATATAACATATTAAAAATTATATGCTGCTCCCATGTTCTAGAGTTCCAATCTAGGTTACTTGGACACGGCGTTCTGGATGTCGTCTCTGTGTCCGACACGTGGATTCTCTTTGATACACCATGGACATGTGGGGTTCAAAGCAAAACCCGATTTCCCTATTACTTATAAACCTAAACTAGTTTCTTTGCGAATATGGGGTTCAAAACAAGTCGGTTTTTAAACACGAAAACTAAAACCCATTACTTAAAATTTTGAAAAATATCCATAGTATTATCCCGTGTGATCAAAACAAAACTTTTTATTGTTAAACCTTATTCTTAATTTGGTTTAACTTGATTTGTAATTGTTACAGATAATAGAAAGAAATATACAAATGTTATAGGTATTTTAATTCAATATTTGATCTAATGTAAAATAAAAATATGCGCGTGTGGGGACATGCAGCTGTGTCCTTGTATCCTACATTTTCCAAATTTGCTGCCCGTGTCCGAAACCATGTTCATGTGCATGTCCACACCCGTATTTGTGCTACCTAGGTTCCAACCTAGTTGAGGAAAATTTCTTCGACTCAACCCCTCCCTTTTTTTCTTTCAAACTCCTTCCCCAAGCTCCGACCGCCTTATCCACAAGGTGCAGTTGCGGCTGATATCTACTCTAAGTCTCTAACTATACCAAGACTCTCAAATTGAGATGAAGATTGATGTTAATAGTTTTATACTCTTAACTTGTCTTTGCAGATTGAGCGATCTTTTCAGACTGATATATGAGTTTTACACAGTGCTACCTTTTTTCTAGAAGCCACTTTAGATGTATTCTTCGTGGAAGCTGGGTTGCCCGGACACTATCTTAAAGATCTTTCCACATTAAATCTCAGACATCTTGGTGTAGGATAAGGGTTATTATGTTATACTTTAACAAATGACAAGTCTGTTTAATTTCTCTCTTGAAGATGGATATGTAGTTTCTTTAGCTTTATTTATCTATCTAGTTGGTCGAAACAGTCCCTTGTCTCACAAGATGTCAATGAGGCATAGGTAAGTTCCTACGTTAGTTCAGCTACTAGAATGCAGGAAACAGTTGCTTGTGTTTATATAAATTATATTTCATGTAGGATTGATGTCCACAAGTTGTACATGTTTCTTGTGGATTTATTTCATGGCCATGTATAATATTTAGTGATAACTTTATGTAAAAGTATACAGTGTATGGGTCTGATATAATATGCTTTTGTGGGTATCTTTTTGGTGAAATTTTGTTTTTCTCAGTTTTAAATTCAGTTGGTTATATATCTGTACAGGATGCTGAATCTTCCTTATCAGCAATATTCGGTTCCCAATTTCAATGGCCAGGAGCCAAAGAGTTTCCTAACTCACAAAGATCATCCAGGAAAAATGACTTCCAAGCAAAGGTACCCTACTACAGCATCACAGATGTTAATAGATGACTGCAGGCTTGGTTATTGGTTGTTTTCCATATGCTGACCCATGCACAACTTCATTTCAAGGCAGGCGATAATACTTCAATATGTGATATCTTTTCTATTAATGCTTCTGGTTCTTATTTATTCTGCAGTTCAAGTTCGAAACCACCATTAAATAAAGGAAATAAAAGAGACAGCAGAAAACGTCATAAGGATGATGATGAGTTGGACCCGATGGATCCAAGCTCATATTCAGATGCTCCACGCGGTGGCTGGTATGTTATTGATTATTGTGTCATGTGATGTTTCAGTAGTACTGATTAATTGGGAAGTGAGATCTAAAAGAGCTGAATGGAAGAGAAGGATTAATTTAGTTGATCTGGAAAATATGGAGTGAAGGCTTTGTTGTTGCTGTTGCTTTTACTGTTGTTGCATGTCAATGGTAGTTGTCTTTTCCTACCAGTTCCCGAGAGCTTAACTGCATAAGGATTTATTTTGGTTTGTAGTTGTTTTCGCTTTGGTCCAGACACCAGTTTTCTTTTTGTTGTTTTGAAGTCTTTCTATTTTAGTGTTTTTACTACCTGTTCCCATGATGAGCATGTACGCATATTTAGAGTTTTTAAAATTACCTGATATATATTATTCATTCTTCATCGCCCACAATCCATCAGCTCATATTTTGTTTGAAGTGGTTACCTGACATGTCACAGGCGATTGTTTGACATTTATTTATGCACAAGTTTAATTACTTCTAATCCTTGCTGTGCTGTATAAGGATAACTTACTGATTAGCAAACATTGCAAAGATGATTTTTGACCAAATGCAAGCTGCAATCGATATATTTGGATTTTCAGATGCTTGAATTTCAGTTTTTGTGAGCATTAACTATCAATATGCACTAAGTCACATTTACTGAAAAACTTTGATATTAGGAGGCTAAGGGCATGTAGTTGTTATGTTTTGTGATTTTCTTCACTTTGGTTGGGATGCTGTTGCAGCCTGATCAAAACCAGACATGGTGAATGGATTCCGTTTCTTTTGAATAAATTGCCAGTATCCATATAAAAGTGAAGTAGCGTTTAGAAATTCAGTAGTCAGTGAGAGATGAAAATGGTTTTAATCAACTAGAATCGAAAGGAAACTATTGAAGAAAGGAGATAGAAATGCATAACAGTTCTCACAAAAAAAAAATAGTAATAAATGCATGACCAGACCATTGTCTAGGCAAATAATCTGACAATTGAGAACACCATCCTGAATACATGAGATGCAACAAGGATTTCCGTCAATTGATTCTTATTATGCAGCCCCAATATTTATTTATGCAATTCATGAGTTTTGTCTAAGCTGCTAGTTTACAGCTCAACCTATGCATATTTATTTACCTTACATAATCTCATAAAGCCTTATTTACTGGATTTGTTTGTACTGGTTCCTTTTTAACTTCATTGTTTTCTATGCTGCTTTCTGACATACATTCCCATGAAGAAAATAAAAACGTTAAACAAGTTATGTGCTTTTTGGCAGGGTTGTGGGATTAAAAGGAGTACAACCACGAGCAGCAGACACCACCGCTACTGTATGTATCCTTCACCTATATTTTTCATGTAACAACATGCATGTACAAAGTACGAAAAAAAAGAAGCTCAATGGACTTCTGACTTCCACTGATTGTTTAATATGGTGATATGGAGTAACTAAACAAACAGGAGTTGGCATTGTATATGCAAGTTAACATGTTATAACCAGTTTCTGGTATGAATGGTTATTTATGGTTTCAAGTGTGCTGTCGAGTAGACTGGAATTTAATTTTGAATACAGTTCAACGGAGACCTGTATCTGATGCCTTATGTTAAAGAAATTTATGAGGATGCCTGCAGCAAACCTCTTAGATATCTTTGGCCATAAATGTGGGAGAAAAACTTCATTTTCTCTCATAGTTACTTCTAAAGATTACTTTCACCTTTCTAATTTTGATTATATAATTGATCTTTTCCCCAATAGCATGTTTAATGACAAGAATGCTGCTGGATTTCAGGGTCCTCTCTTTCAGCAGCGTCCGTACCCATCTCCTGGTGCCGTTCTGAGGAAGAATGCTGAGGTTGCTACCCAAACCAAGAAACGCGGTTCTCATAATCATATGGCACCCATTACAAAGAGAGGAGACGGCAGTGATGGACTTGGAGACGCCGACTGAGGTTATGTTTTGTTCATTTTGTTTAAAGCTACCTGATGAACTTCAGCAGCACAAAAAGTTGATCTCTGAAGAACATTAACAAACATGAAAACACCAAAGTTTGATCTTTGGGTGCCATAGTGATTCGTTGCTTTGATGAAAGAGGGGAGGGGGGGGGGGGGGGGGGGGGGGGGGGGGGGGATCACGGTGCTATACACCTTCATTGTCAGAGACCAAAAGAAATTTCCCCAGTTGTGGAGAATGCTTCTCTGAATGTTATTGAGAAATGGCAGCACTGGTGTTGATAATGTATTATTCTAGTTTCAGGTGTGGTTGGATACTATATGAATACAAAAATGTGTAGCTGGTTCATTTTGTTATTTCGATATTAAAAGCTTAATGTCCTGTTTGGATGGAGGGTAGAGAGGGGGAGAGGAAGAGAAATGCAGCTTTCACCTTGTTTTGGAGTTTTTGTAAGGAGGGTAGAGAGGAGGAAGGAAGGGGAACGGAGGGTAAAATTGCTTGGTTTTCTTTCCCCCCCGATTCGGGCGTTAGAGGAGGGTAAATGGGTGTAATGACATTCTTATCCCCATCAAAACAAATAAAAGGACTGATGTGTTATTAGTATAAGGTCATTTGTGTAAATTTACATATATTTCCTTCCCTTCCCTTCCCTCCATTATTACTCCCAAACAAGTTATATTAATTTCACCTTCATTCACCTTACTCAACTCCCAAACAACATATTACAATTATCTTCTCTTTCCGTTGTTTATCTTTCCTTCCCTTCCCTTAGTGAACTCCCAAACACACCATAAGCTATTAGATATTAATCTCTACATTCTATTGATGTTCAACCATTTTTTTCCTTAACCATTTGAGTTTACTCCCATATGAACTGTCAGTCTTTTCAAATTGCTTGGGATTGCCATGTTAGAAGCCAATGATGCCCAATATTTTTTAGAGACCAAATATCTTAACTGATACGTCTTATGGTATGTTTGGATTTCATTGAGGTACGATAACTTGCAGGGAAAATAGGGGAGAGAATATAAGAGAAGGTAGAGAGTTCTCTTCTCCTGAGTTCCAACTTCCAACTCAACTTGGTAGGAACAAATTTTATGTTGTTGAGAGTGAACCTGGGGGAACAAAGTGAACCATCCCACCTCTTAAAAGTTGTCCAAACTGGGTGAATGATCTCTCATACCTTCTCTCCAATTCCTCTCAATCCGAACAGAGCTTTAGTTATTGCATGCTTCTTGATAATTAGAAGTTATCAGTTGCTACAGAAAAAGAAAAGGAAAAAGTTTAGTAGTGGTCTTCAAGGGATAGGCCTTGTCCTTGCCTTTTGCCCCCCAATGGAAAGTTTATTAGTGGTCTTCAAGGGACAGGCATTGTCCTTGTCTTCCAAGGACTTGAGAAGTGCTCAGCAGCAGGGTGGAGCAAGTGGTATCATGATACTCGTTTAAGTCATCTGACATATAAGTTCTCTGCTACAATGATAAGAACAACCTACATATATTACAGGGAGGTAGGGATGCATTAGATCCGGATAAAACCCGGATGTGATACTTACCATATTCAAATCTGCTTACCCATCTCGGATACGGATACAAATATAACTAGGTTAGGAAAATTCATATCCATATCTGCTAAAATTGGAAATGAATACATATATTTATTGCGGATATATAAGTGGATATGCATGCGAATACAAAACGAATATGAGAAAAGTAGATAGTATTAAAAATATATATAGTTTATGTGATGCAAAAGAGTTCATAAATATGTTCATTATATCTGAAAAGCTAACAATAGACATCTTGATCATTAAAATTAACCTCAAATACATAACCTAAGGATTAGAACTATAGTAATAATATGACTATTATGTATTTGAATATTTCAGATACGATCCGCATATTTCACTACATAATCATATCCTTAATCATATTCTATCGGTTATAAATTTGAGTAACCATATTTTTATCCTAACAGATACAGTTACAGATATTTCTTGGGATACAGATACGATTTAGCACCTCTACATGGAGGTCATTGGAACGGGCTTCTTATGATAAAACTATCTATTTATTTATTAAGAAAGGGGAAATGTGATATATGTGACCCAACCCAAAAAGTCTAAGCACTCTACTGGACATGACCTATCATTTCATTTTTCAAAATTAGCTATCAAAAGTAACAGGTAGAATTAATATTACCACTAGATTATCTCTTGATTGCTCATGTAGAGAAGTGAGTTGTTATCTCACACCATATTACTCCGTTTGATTAATACTAGGATTTGGGAATGTAAAAGATTATTCTGGAAGATAAAAGAACGTAGATTACATTTTAAGTTCAGTTAAAAGTTGAGCCTCTCACCATATTACTCCGTTTGAATACTAAGATTCCAGCCTCTGTTTTTGTAATTAGTGTAATAATTTTTTTGGAGTTGCATCAGGCAGTTTTCTTATCACTTGTTTACTGTAAATACTGAACTTTTCAGGGTAGAAGCTTTTCTTTCTCCCCTCTGTCTTTAGTCGTATGGCTAGCTTTGGGCCATAACATTATCATAGTTGTGGTGAATGATGACTATGATCCTCTCGTCACTCTCAGTGATAATTTTTGTGGAGAAAGTCCTATGTACTAACTATGGAGAAAGGTAATGTATACTTTTGTATGACACATCCTCATGTCCATCTTTATAGTCATCAATGAAATGAACAGAGAATTTTCCCTTATTTTCTGCTCAAACAAAAATCTTAGGCCCTTGAAGTTCATGATGTTGATATTTTTTTTGACTCTTTACAGACCCTTTAATGTTCTGCATTAAGTTCATTCTGGATTTAGCCCATCATAAATTTATAGTAAATTTAATGCGGTTGTTCTTTCAAGTTCCCTCATCCATAGCTTATTCAAGAAAGAAAAGGCCCATATTTGGATCACATACATACAAATTGAAACTAGAAAGCTTTTGCTTCAAGGCCCATATTTGGATCACACACATACAAAATTGAACAAAGGTCAAGGCATACAAATAGACACATGTTGGATTATTTCAACCTTTAGTAAAATTGGAAAGCGAAACAGGATTGACTTTTTTTTTTGCTTTCACTGTGACGTCCACAGACTTTATTTAATGGTATGAAAAATTGCGGACCAAATTTTGAAGGGGTTTTTTGTATTGGCCCCTTTCCCATAATTGTTTAAAATCAAAGGGATGAAAGAAAGAAGATAAGGGTCTAAATAGGTTTGGATTTGTAATTATAGAAATGTTAGGGGCACACCCCAAGTCACACCTCCAACCACACCTCCCCCTCTCATTCGCTACAGTACTCCGGGCCTCACATGAGTTTTTAAAATTTAAAAACTCATGTGGGGCCCGGAGTACTGTAGCGAATGAGAGGGGAGGTGTGGTTTGGGGTGTGCCCCTAACACCACTCTTGTAATTAATAGGTTTGAGGGTTGTAAATAGGTATGAGTTAAATAGATAATAGGTTTGGGTTTATAATCAGAGAGCTATAATGGTCAATCCACCCAAAAATGGTAGAGTTAACGGAATATTCCCTTAAAGTTATGACATCAACTAACTACATACTAATATCAACACACTAATGATTTTTAAGAGACCAATATCAAAATATGAAGATTTGAGGGATTGATATCAAAATGCCAATGATTTAAGGGACTAATATCGAAAAACCCCAATTTTGAATTAGAACTATTCCCAAAAAAAATTATCAAAAAAGACATAGTTTCAAAATATTTATCAAAATAGACCTAGTTTCAGTTAACGTGGTTGAAACTAGGTCAATTTTAATAAATATTTTGGGAACTAGGTCGAGTTTGAAAAAAATACATAAACTCTATGGGATTGGGAATCCCCGAGAGTTTAACACAATTTAAATTCACAGGACTGCCAATCACATGGAGTCCAGAAACTCTTTTCTACCCAAATCAATCTAGTTTTGCTAACATGGCTAAAACTAGAACGATTTTAATAAATATTTTGCAATTATGTCGAAATTGATAATTTTGTTTTTGAAAAGATCTATTTTAAAATTTTGTCCGAAAAGTTGCTTACAAAAATTTAAGGTAAGCAGTCATGTGATTTTTATTTTTATTTTCCGCATTCCCTGTTTGCCTCTTGATCTATTACATGTTTCCCAACGTAAAAATGTAACTATTTTCAATCTCATCTTACCCTCTGAATTTTTAAATTGATCTGTGTTGTTTGCAATTTCATCTTACCCACCCTAAACTTTCTTGTTATAAATCCATTTAAAATACTCACAAAGTATTAAACAAAAAATGATAGCTAGGCACCTAAACCGATAATTCAGGAGGCAAGATGTCACTAAAATGTAAAAAACACTGTAGGGCTGCATATGGATGAGTTCAGTAGTTCAAAAAGTAAGATGACTGAAAATAGGTTTTTTTTTTTTTTTTTGTTTAAGTACAGCGGCATGTTTATAGATAAACAATTTGAAGAAATGATAAGATTGTGTACTAACCAAACAATCAAATTAAGATAAACCTAAACAAATATAGACATTGTCATTAAAGAGTGTTGGGATCCCACCTTAATTAGGAAGATTTAAGAAAGTTCTAAAACTTTTTGGAGAACTCTAGAGAATTGTAGAATTCTCTAGAAGCGTGTGGAATCCTCTAGAATATTCTAGAGATGTGTGGAGCCTTCTGGAACATTTTGGAAGAGTATGGAATAGAATAGAGGAGTGTAGAGATTCCTTAGAAATCTCTAGAAAGTAAAGATATATGTGAAGAATTCTAGAGAGCTAATCTCCACCCTTGGATCAAACTAATCCCCACCACTCATTATGAAGGTGGAGTAGTATAAATAGGGGTGGAAGCCTTCATTCTTATACATCCAAGACAAGAAAACAATCCACTTTCTAGAGTGAGAGAAAACTTCTAATATAGAGAGTTAGAGAGCCTCTTTGAGAGAGAAGCGAGATAGCTTGAGAGTTCTAATCCTCAAGCTCGAGTGAGCCACCGAAGTGAGACAATTTTATAAATAAATAAATAAATTATTGTAATCATATTATTCTTTTGTATAGTGGAAGAACCTCCATATTGGAGGACCATAAACTCTTGTGCTCTCATTACTAT